TGAAAAAAATCAGGCTGGTGTAAGTGTCATACCAAAGCTTTTTGGTAGTGTTGTGTTTTCAAAGCTAGATGGTTTAATTACGAAGCTTTCATTGTCTTTTATGACAGAATCTTCAGAACTTACTTCAGTGTAAAGTAAGATTTTGAAATCTTCTGTGGATAAAATATTTGCATTCTTTGATGACCTAGGCTGTGAATGATTGTCCCATAAGATTTTCTGATAATTGTACTGTGTTAATACTGATGCTGTCTCAATATTTGACGTTATGCTCGTGTGAAATATTTTTGATATAGAAAAAATCCTCATTTAGACAATTAGAAAACAGAAAGATTGAGCGAACGAAGAAATATTTACTTTTCAGTTAGATCATCATCTCTAGCTCTACTCTAATATGTATATGGCATTTTTATTACAATACACAATAGTTTACCAATCAAGTGGCACTGATATGTTTGTCAACAATAATTAAACAGTGTCAAAATGTCAATGGGTTGATAATTAACGAAGAAAATCAATACACAGACATTTAAAGGGTACAAATGGTTAGAAAAAATTAATTTTACAAGGATAAGACGTAATTAAAGATGAAGTGGACAAAAATAAATAAAAAATGAAAAAATAATTTAGACAATTATAATTTTTATAATTTTAAATAAGGATAAACTACCTAAATTTGCCTCTTCTATGTATATCTATCAGTTTGACTGCAGCTGCGGAGCCGGCTACATTGGGCTTACAATTAGGCAGGTTCATCATCGTATTTCCGAACATCATGCAACATGATTAAGCAAGGGACAAAAAAGATCTATTCGCAGCGCTATTTTAGTACGCCTTGTAGATAGTGAGCATAAGGTTGATGTTAATACTTCATTTGAAGTTATTTATCGCATTCCTACTAATCTTAATTTTACTTTACGAGTTCGTCTTCTACATACAGCTGAAGCAATAGGAATCCACCTGAAAAAGACAAACCTATGTGTTCAAAAAAAAAATTGTACAGCCAATTTCCCTACCTTGACCATGGTTACATAAAATATTTTTATTGATTGGTAAAATCTGTGACAGAGAGTGCCAAGGAATTCCTTAAAGCTTGATCGAAGTCATCCAAAAAGGCAGATATTTCATCCAAAGAGAATTCTAAAAGCTCACTTAACGTTGAAGTTAATGCTGAAGATACTGCCTAGGAAAGCAATGATAGCTTCACAATAAACGATATAGCTCAGATAACTCAATAATAACAAAATCACTCACCTAAGCTACAACTCCTCTCCATTACTTGAAAACTAAAGGCTTCTGGACTAGCAGTTTGGCTCATTGTCAACTCAGTTATAATTCATAGGTGATAATTACTTTATATTCACTCATCAACTGTTGTATTAGTATGAGTCTTCTAGGTAATTTCACCAACATTTGATAACCTGTATTAATTTTCTAATTTAGTCTGATTGGAATTGAAGTTATTTTTCATCTGGTTAGACAGCTAGTGGGAATATATTACACAGACAGTTATGCACTAGTTAGAGAGAGAGAGATTAAAATACTCATTTTCGGAGTGTAATTCAGTGGGTAGAGTACTGAGCTAGTGATGCGTAGGCCGTTATTAGGAAATTCTATTCTGAAGGAAACTTTTATTTTGTTTAAGAGCAATAAAATAGCTAAGAGAAGGAAAAATGTTAGAAAAACTGTTCAAGTTTTATCCAGAAATCAGCCAGAAACCGCAAGAAAATGTTGTGCCCCATTAAAGTTAAAAGTTTAATTTATTTAAGTTGACTTGTTTATTTTATTACTCATATATGCTAAGTACAGTATTGCTGTGTTTCAATTTGATGTTTGTAGTGCAGCTTTTATGCAGATAGGTTGATTATTGTGTAATATATAAAATAATGCGAACAAGTGGCTTGTTGGTCTATGAGGTCGCCTTGTAACCTGAAGATCCTGGGCTCGATCCCTGGCGGTTAGTGCGTACTGGTGAAGAGTCCCAAACTGGGATGAGACGACTGTCTAGTACTTCCAGATTTTCCAATGTTTTGAGTGTTGGTGGTTCAGTGGCAGCATACTGGTCAAACACGCAATTGGTTCGATGTTCGATCCCTGGCCGATGCACTCCTATACCTCAGCTGGTAGTAAGCCAGGCTAAAAGGGAAGGTTCGGAGTTAGGCTAGCAACCTTACCCCGTAAAAAGACATCAGTGCTACTGAAACTTCGGAAGTTCTGACTTGAAGGCCTATGTTCTACTGGGAATGGCGAAAAATGAAATAAAAATAAAAAAGTAAGCTGCAGCAAATGAAAGAGAGGAAGGGGACTAGAGCGTCTGTTACCATAATAAGTTATGCTTCTTATAACAGCAATTTTCACGAAGTAGCATTACTCGTAGGAATTAATGTGAGTAGAAAATGTAGTCTAACTGACTAGTTAGTTGAAACTTTTTTGAAGCAAATGCTGCGTCGGTGGCACAGTGGTTAGGACTCTCTCCGACCATGCACATGGTCCCAAGTTCGATCGCCTGCCGACGCACACCTGACATCTATGGTCGGCCTGCAAAATTTGGGCTACCGATACCATATGCTGAAAATTCCATACTTGTACCAAAAATACAGTGTGGAATCAAGCTGTAGAATTCATGAGCCATTGAATCGGGTCCCAGTGACTGAACGGTATACGAGCTCACTGGCCTTGTAATCGGGGAGTTGTCCGTTCGAACCCTGGCAGTGGGTGCGTACTTCCGATGATTCCCAAACTAGTGGGATGAAACAGCAGCTGTCCAGTACTCCGGTGCTGGTTTTCAATTGTTCTCTAACTGATATCAATCCGTGATCAACTCGTAAAAACATAACTAATCCTTACAAACCAAACTATAGAAAATTAATCTGATGCTCACTAGTGACTTGCCACAGGTTGGAGTTTCCTGTGTTCTAGTGAGGAGTTGTGACCAGTGAGGTCCAGTTAGATGTCACGTGTGTGGATGGATGTCCCACCAACGACAATGGTTAGGGTCGTGCTAAATCACGAATTGGTGGAAGTTAGAATTCATGCACTGCCCGTTGAATCGGCTTCCAGTGGCTGAATGGTATATGAGCTCACTGGCCTTGTAACCGGAAGGTCCTGGGTTCGAACCCTGGCAGTGGTTGCGTACTTCCGATGATTCCCAAACTAGTGGGATGAAACAGCAGCTGTCCAGTACTCCGGTGCTGGTTTTCAATGGTTCTCTAACTGATATCAATCCGTGATCAACTCGTAAAAAATAAAATAAATAAAAATTTGTCGTACCGAGAAATTTCTAACCCATATCAAGTTATTTAATGGTCAATTATTTAAAGCATGACCTGGAAATCTGTTGGGTATAGTCTCACCAGAGAGACTTAAAACTGATTTTATTAAATAGTTTGAAACTACAAATAGGCCGATACCGAACAATTTTTTTGTGTAATTCCTTCCACGTACCACAACCCTCTACTTTTTACTTTTATTTTTTATGTTGTTGAACGCGTACAAATCAATCCTTCTAAGACTTTTATGCATCCTTTCATATACTCGTTTGTGTAAAACAACTAGTTCACAATATACATGTATATTAAATTGAGATATGATTGGTTGTATTCTCATCCTTTTGAAATTACATTACTGCATTGCAAAGAGGCAAATTTTTAATCTAAATATTGTTTTACTGTGAGGAAAATATTTCTGTGTCTGACGTGACACGTCAGTATGTAACTTAATCTCTTGTCGGAATCTTTCAGTAAACTAGCATTACAAAATTTCTATGATAAATTAGTTTATTACGCATACTTCCAGACTGATCAGCAATTCATTACTGAGAAACGAAATAATAATATGATGTTGGTTAATTTGTATTTCAAAAGAATGACTACTGAACAAAGAATACTGTTTGCGATAACGCCTTCTTCATCAGCTTCTGCAGTTATACATATACATAATGGTCAATGAATTAGTGTTATTAGCAACATTAATGTTGTTTAAATAACATCGAATCAATAATAATAATGATATCAATGGATTACATTTCAATAGCATTAATATAACAATACACTGAATATCAGAGAGATTAGGAAAAATAATAATCATAAAAATTCATAAATTTATAATCTACACAGAAGGCTTTCGTAAACAAAAAGCCTTTTTACATACGACTGCAGCTGAAGAGCAGTATACCCAGCGAAATAATTACGAAGAAATTAAGGCAATCAGTTCAAAGAACTTTTAATTCTGCCAAATTACAAGTCTTATTTTCTACACAACCGAAGGTGATTCCTCAAATGAACGATGAAGTACCCGGAGTAGTCGTTGCTAATTGAATCTAGCAACTCAACTGTACTTGTGGAGTGAGTTGTATTGGCCGTTGGTCTAGGAACTTGATTTTCCATGGTCGGCTGGGAACATCTACGAATGTAGTTAAATAAAGGTGCGGTTAGAAGCATCAATAGCTACATATTAGAACACCTAGTCCAAACCGGTCACAAAGATAATACTGGAGAGTCCTTCTCTACCATCTATCGGATATCAAACAAATCGCCAAAGGCATTCAAGCACCGCATACTCCAGACAGCAGAGGCTATCGCGATTCACCTGAAGCAACCATTGCTTTGTGCGCAGAAGAAGCAAGTACAGCCAGCACTAATACTGCCCTGATTGGCTTTCAGTGGAGACTATAAATTCATGAATCTGTATGATTATTATTTTTCCTAGTTTGTCGGATATTCAGTGTATTGTTGTGTTGATGCTATTGAATTATAATCCATTGATATCATTATTATTATTAATTCGATGTTATTTAAACCACACTAATGTTGTTGATAAGACTAATTCATTGACTACTGTGTATATATAACTGTAGAACCTGATGAAGAGCAGATTATCGTAGAGAGTATTCCTTGTTCAGTAACTATTCTTATTTTGTTCAAGAATATGTAGCAGTTTGATTTATGCTTCTATCTATCTCATCCATATATTTAACTACAAATAATCTCTACTTTGCATTATAGATGGGGTACACAAGGTGATTTTTCAACAAATCAACCTCTTCCTACAGTTAAAGTTAAACTGTATGCTGAAAGTTCAGGCCTTTTGTCACTTGACAGTGGTAAAGAATTAGGTCGTGTAAGTCCATTTAAAAAAATATTTTTACTTTATTTCTGTTTTTTTCTGAAGTTTCTCCCATAAGCGAAATTCTTATTACATACATTATCACATAGTCAAACAGAGTGAATTTCTTTGTCTTTCCTTTACGCCCACTGAACTAATTTCCTCAGTGGGTGCGTACTGATAAAGAGTCACAGACTAGGACGAAACAGCTGTATAGTACTCCTTACTGGTTTTCTGATGGTTCTCTAACTGATGTCATTTCATGAGGAAATCCTCCAACCAATCAAACAAAATCCCTACAATACATGAAAAATCAAATATTTTTTCCGAGTAATTTTTCAAGTACATTTTTGCGGCGATTTCAAGGTAGCAAATGAAGTGATATCACTTAAAGAACTACCTAAAACAAGAGAGCACCTAAGAGCTGTTTCATCCCCTTTCGGGACTCATCGACAGTATGCACCCATCACACTCTACTGGAGATTGAACCCAGTGCCTTGTAAATACCAGACAATGCTTATGACCACTCATGCAAAGCAACAACCAGTTGGTTGTCAACATTAATCCTTTTCCTTAATAAAATTCACTTGGTCTCTGTTGAAGCTAGCTGACACCATAAACTATCCTGATATCTCAGTTATACTTAAGGAATTTTTTTCGACTGTAAATTGATGCTGAATGTGTGATTGAAAATCGCTTTCCCTCCTTCTTCTCCTCAATCACATCCTCTTACCCTGACTTTCCAGAAAGTGGATTTCCCATCTCTTTCTTTTTATCCAAAAAATGAATCACCATTTTTTGTTTTTCCTTTTATCTTCCTGTCTTTTTCAAACCTAGTCACTATATATTCCAAATTATATTGCTTATTATTATTATTATTACTATTTGCTTTTTAAACACTTTAATCCAACAGTCTGCTGCATAGGCTAAATAATGATGCATCGTTGATTGAACTTTGGGAATAATTTTGTTCTCTCTGTCCTTCTGCATATTTTCACTTAGAGGTTGGGTTTAATTTAAATATTATTTCTATTTCACCATATGATATTCAATAACAACAACAGTAATCACAACCACAATAAAGAGAAATGCTTTACCACTGATAGCGGAAATGACTGATATGAAATTTGACTACGTCGACAGGATTTTCTTGTTATAATTTTGAAGTGTAAGCATAGGTTACTCAGTGATTTTTCTTATACGCTTCTATTTTTGTCTTGTGTGTGTGTGTTTTTGTTTTTTTAAAAGCATTTCTCTGTGTTAGTTGGGCAAGTGTTGAATTACTTAAGAAAGATAAATTTTGTGTCTAGTTGTTGTTTTAAGTTGAAAACAAAAGACTATTTAGTTATTAATACATTAATAAAACTGTAGTTAAGTCAGTGGAAAAAAGGAAATTATTTTGTCGCATTTAAGACGTCCAGTCTATCAGCTTGTAAGGAACCGGTAGAATAACGATCTTGTGAAGTAGAACACTTAAAACACATATAATATTTAGTGTGATTTCTCCCTCTTATCAGTTAATCACAATTGCAACAGGATTTCTAAGCAAACATCTTTTGCATTTCATACCATATGGCAAAAAATACTGCGCAGCTATTTCATTCTAGTAGGGGATTTTTCATTAGTATGCATCTACTGTCAGGGTTCGAACCTGGAATCTTCCAGTTGCAAGGCGAGCTCGTAGATCATTCCTCCACTGGGACCTGACTCAGTGACCAGCACATGAATTCTAACTTCTGCCAATTTGTGATTTTAGGACGACCACTCGCCAATGTCATCACTGGCCAGTATTTGTCTTCACACCTCACGTGATGTAGACCCCACTGGTCACGACTTGTCTCTAGAAGTGCAGGAAACTTCGTCCTGTAACCAGTCATTAGCAAGCATCAGATTTAGTTTCGGGAGTTAGTTTGTAAGGATTAGATTTGTTTCAAGTGTAAACACGAATTGATATCAGCCAGAGAACCAACCAACCACTGGAAACTTTACAGTCACCAGATTCCATCCCAGTGGATGATTAGTTAAAGAACTCGCCTTGTAACTTGAAGTTTCCTATGTTCGATCCTTGATGGGGTCATGGGTGTGTACTGCTGAAGTGAAGCAAATTGGGACTGAACAGCACCCTTTGGTTTCCAGTAGTTTCTATGATCAAACTTGAAATAAATATATTCCTAATGCTGACATTCGATTTCTGAATTCATCACACAATTAGGAATACCTACTCATGTTGTATAATAATACATATCAGTGAAAGTTGATCTTTTTTCCAGAGTAAAATAATAACAGACAATCTCACACTTCTAAGTCAAAAAATAAGCAAGAAATACTACGGATTACAAATAAATATAGTCATAAAAGAATTTTCTTATTATCATTTCAATCTGTCAAGTGAATATTTTCGCTTCATCATATTCAGAATAAAGATTACTTCTATTTGTTCAGTTCTTATGAATGTTACCTCAAAGGCAATGGTAAACAATATGAATAAGTTTAATCTTCTAGACAAATAAAATACTTTTCAATAATTTCTCCTATGCAGGTTCTTACAATTATAAAATATAATATTTGTGGTCGTTACAATAAAGACAGCCAGGTATGCGGCGGATACATTTTTAACGTAGAATAACAGATTAGTTATGGGGTGTCAAAATAAATAGTCATATTTGTGTGACAAACGTGCTAGTTGGCTGAAATCGATTACAATATATTTCAGTGAAATGGGAGACTATGGTGGTGATTAATCATAATAGAATTGTAGAGTGTGAGGTAGGGAAAATTGACAAATCAGTTCAAGATTATAAAAGGTGTCAGGTGAGACAGTGGGTTTCACAAAGTGGTCTGAGTTAAACAGGAGATAGTAAGACTTCAATGAGAGGTTCATAGTGAGATAACGAATCGACTTCAGCCTAGTATGTTTGTCACACAAATATGACTATTTATTTTGACACCCCATAACTAATCTGTTATTCTACGTTAAAAATGCATCCGCCGCCGTATAACTGGCCTTTATTGTAAAGACAAGAAATATTATATTGTAAGAACCTGCATAGGAGAAATTATTGAAAAGAATATTCTTCGTTCAGACTGACTTTTAGTTAAAATACTTTATTTAACTTCGAATGACATTAATCTTTCCTTAGATATTTTTTATTATTTTTCCACTAAAATCGAGTTCCTCCGTTTATCGCATACTGTTCCACCGCTGAGATGAAACTCTGACTGACTCTGATTGTACAAGTTCAGTTGTAGTTCAGTTGGTGCAAAATGAAAATATGATATTACTTAATATAAGTAGAATATTAACAATCGAATTAAATTAAGCCATCAGTAATAATAAAATTAACTACGTTTATACTTTTCTTCATGAAATAAGTCTTCCTCTAATTATAGATACTAATTTAATAATAGTAGTAGTGATAGTTCTTTCGAATAAACTCAGTGAAAAATATTAGTTAGAGAACCATTGGAAAACCTGGGAGTATTGAACAGCTGTTTCATCCTAGTCTGCGATTAGTGGTCACGCACAAAAAAAATCATGAATTAGTAGAAGTTAGAATTCACGGGTTGTTGAGTCGGGTCCCAGTGGCTGAATGGCATACGAGCTTGCTTTGCAACTGAAAGATCTTGGGTTCGAACCCCATGGTATAGGTGTGTACTGATGAGGAGTCTCAAAGTAAGATGAAACAGCTGTCCAGTACTCCCTGGTTTCCAGTAGTTCTCTTAGTGTAACTTTGTTTATCCTTGTTTCTTTCCTTTACTGTTAAATTATTGTCCCTCATGAATATCTGTCGTGATGAGACCTAAGATTGGGCTTTCCTAACATAAACATTTTGTCTGAGAACAATTAATTAATTGCGCTATGTCCTGAATTGGCAGAAGTTAGAATTCAAGGACCACTGGATCGGGTCCCAGTGGCTTAATGATATATGAGCTCGCCTTGTAACCGGAAGGTCCTGGGTTCGAGCCCTGTCGGTGGGTGCGTACTGCTGAAGAGTCCCAAACTAGGACAAAACAGTTGTCCAGTACTCCCAGGTTTTCCAATGGTTCTCTAACTAATGTTAGCTCATGATGAAATCCTGAAATTAATTTTCTCTTATTCACTAGATTTTTCGTATTTAAGAAGGAGAATAACAGAAAAAGCTCTAAATACAGTTGCAGGAAACAAAATTTTCTTTTCAATGAAGTCACCAACTAGGCTGTATATTCGTGTATTTCTAGTAAATTAGTGAAAAAGTTCCACAAACATTTCCCGCCAAAAGTTAAATTAATAAAATTACAAAGTATGATAATCACGAAGATCAGGTAGAAAAGATGTAGTAAGATTATAATTACTGAAAAACTTGACTTCTACGATGGTCATTATAAAAATGTCAGTCGTATCAATAATGATTATTCTTCATGCATTTATTCCCTTTGATGAATTTGAAGAAAGCAATAACTACAATAGTTTATGCAGAATAATATGGTACCATCATTGATTATTTAGTTGGCTTCTCATCAGCTGCTGTTTACAGCCTAAATAAATTTTCAGGTTTACGTACAGAAAAGTTTGAACATACTTGCAAATTTTACGTGTTCTAAGTTGACAGAAAGTTCCACAATTAGTGAACAGTGCTCAGAAAATTGCGCTTATATATAGTTTTTACACAGGCAGTTCAAGTTAAAACAAAATAAATGTATGCATACAATGGTAAAGGAGTTACGTAATAAAAACGAGAGGTGAGTAAGGTGATGAGTAACTAATAAATTAGGTAACGATGTACTGAGTTCAACTTATGTCATAGAAACAAGAGACAAGCAAAATTACAGATTGTAAAAAAGGGAGTGAGGTTGAAGACAAAGATTACATAATCAGATAAGAGAATAGAGACATCCAGTTACCAGGGCAGGGAAAGATTAATAACTGCTTCTTTCTGAACACATAAATCTGGTTTGAAGCGTTTGATAGAAATTGCTTCGGCAAACTTGAGGAGAATGGAGCTCCTTTGTCTATTGATAATTTTGAAGGATTTCTCGATTTCCACCTCATGACCCGTGTTGAGGAGATGCCTGTCGATGGCAGCGTTCAAAGCATTTGTTGCCTTTAGACGTAAGCCTTTTGGTACATGTTCAGGAAATCGTAGATATGCCCTTTTTTCTGTCCTTTTAATGTAACTGCTCCTGCAGATACATGTAAATTTGTATATACAGTTGGAGTTAACATGAGAAGGATATGTATCGATTTTTGATTGCACCAAAGAGCAAGTTGTTCGATAGACGGGAACGAGCTTAGCTGCAGGATACGCTATGGCTAGTGATGTACTCAACCTTTATTCAAATGATTATTCTGTTACCTTTTCTATACAATCTACCTAATTATTTCTGTTATTTTTATGTTTTCAATCTCTATCCGCACTGCTAGATTTGTTTTGTTATCTGAACTTCCTGTCTACTTTGTTATTAATACATCTTTAATCCGTATTTGTAGAAACAGTCAGGTTTTTTTTTTTTCAGTAATAATGACCTTATTATGTCTTTTCTATTAGATCTTCGTGATTATCACACTTTGTAATTTTATTGATTTAACCTTTGGCCTGAAATATTTCCGGAACTTTCTCACTCATTTACTATAAATACACGAATGTACAGTCTGGTTGGTGACTTCATTGAAAAGAAAATTTTCTTCTCTGCAAGTGCCTTTTTAATAATTGTTATGATCCAATGTGTATATTTTGTGATTTGAAAAAAATTCTATTAAGTCATTTGCATTTTATTTTAGTAATGTGAGTTACTATAAAAATAGTCTTAGTGATGTTGTTCTAAACTACTTCAAAAATACTGTGTAAACCGTATGTATGTGTATACTAATATTATTTAAGAGTTACACTCCCATAACTAATTTGTGTAAGTACAGTACTTCTTAAGGAGAAAATAGTTGAAATCATAATTCCCTACATTTTTTCTTTCTACATTCGACATCAATCTATCAATACATAATACAGTTTGGCAAAGGGAGTATATTGTAGCATAATGCTTGGTTGCTTGGTTTACCTTAACTGAACTGGCAAACTAGAGAATGAATGTTATCTTGTAGGTGTGGAAGTAGGCCATTATATGGCTTGTCTCTCTCTCTCTTTTTTTTTTTAAAGTGGCGACACCTTTATTAGGTAGGTATCAAGGCGTTTTAATAAATAGGCCGGTATATACCAGCATGCTATCATGAAAATTCAATAATATACGTTTATCTTTTGAACTTACTGCCTCCTTTATTCTATTAAATTGCGCAGATATATCAGTACCAAGCAACATTTTCTTGATAAAAACGCAGTTCAAGAATATAATGCTACCGATAATAATATGTATGCCACAAAATATTTTTTAGTGCGAAATTTTATTCAAATGGCATACGAAAAATATTTGTCATTAAACCTGCATACCGATAGACAACAACGCTACAGTTATTGGGGAAAGGTAACTTTTAAAAGTCAAAGACGAAACTATTGAAAAGTCAGCTATAGGAAGTTATGACTTTTGAGTTATTGTTCTTAAGACTGCTGATTACCTCCAACTACCTAACATGAATTCAAAATGTGCATCACGTCGATGAGTGTACTGGGTCGGTGACCACACTGAAAAAATGACTAAGAGAATTTAGTCAAAACTGATACTAATGATTCCATATATTTCACTGTGGTGTGATATATATATATACATATGACTTGTTGATATTAGATGGTTGGAGGCAATCGGCAGGAAGCTTTGTCACCTAGTTTTCATGCTAGACGGCACTCACCAGTCGTCAAGGCGTATCTGCAGCCTTGAAGGAACTCATGTCCCTTCTGAGATTCGAACCCGCGTCACCCAGCACTACAGTCATTAACGTTATGGCGAGCCACCTAGAATGGTGGCTACTTTGCTAACTTGACTGATAGAATTCAGTCTGCACCAAAGATACGATCAGATACATTATACTAGTCACAGACTAGTGTATATGACTTATGCACCGTCACAGGTTCTCTTTCTATTCGATGCATTCATAGCTCGAGAAATAATAAGCATTTTGAAGTGTTCACACACGTTGTGATAATATGTGAAAATTAAGTAGGGGGAAGTAATTTTATAAAATAGTTAGCTAAAATAATACGTGTTAATTAAATAAATGAGATCGTTCACCCTTAATGAATATTCTTCGGTATGTGTGTGTATGTATAGTAATTTTATTCTGAATAACATTATTTTATTATGAAGCTTGAGTTTTACACTTTTGTAGTAGCAATTTCGGTGACAATATGATTAACACTGAGAGTTTTTCACTATATATATTACTGACAACAGACAACTATTTTGCTTAGTTCAAGTCTCAAAGGTAAAGAAAAGACGTATAACTGGTTGGAGTTTTTCATCATGAGATGACATCAGCTAGAGAACCATTAGAAAACCTGCAGAGGGTACTAGACAGCTATTTCGTCAGCCTAGTCTGGGACTCTTCTTCAGTACGCACCCACTGCCAGAGTTAGAACTCAGGACCTTCTGGTTACAAGTCCAGCTAGCTCGTAGACCAATGGGATCCGATCCAATGGCCAGCCCATGAATTTTAACTTCTACCAGTTCATGACATAGCGGACCACGTCTCAATGCCTTCTTCGATGAGTGACTGCCTCACCTTCAACCTCCTGTATCACACTGGTCACGGCTTCCCATTGGAACCGCAGGTTAACTGCCTGAATAGGACCAGTCGCTAGTGAGTCCCAAACTAGGACGAAACAGCTGTCCAGTACTTTCAGATTATCCAATGGTTCTCTATCTTATGTCAGCTCATGATGAAATCCTCCAAACAATCAAACAAAGTCCCTACAAAATCAATACTTGAAAAGATATATTACTTTACAATAAAATTCTATAACAAAATATTTGTGTTTGAAAAAACCACATAGTGATACGATATTATTTGATGATTGGGTTTCAAGCACAAGTTACTTCTCATAATCATATCAAGGCCCTCATATAACCTTCTTAATAAAACAGCAATTATGGTGGTATTTAAATCTGCAAACTCAATCAGGAGCAGGCGCGGTAGACTAAAAGACCCTACTGACCCAGTTAGACACCTTCAGTTAAACTTACACCCATCGCGTATAATATTAATGACGCGATTCCTGCAGCAGAGATATGGAGCATATTACTGATAATAAAACCAAAGGATAAGAAGTAATGGAAGTATATAAGGTAAATTTGAAATCTATGCGAGTGTCTGAATATGATTATGAGAAATACGTTGTGGTCGAAATATCATCGGTAAATAGCATAGTGTCACTTAATGGTGTCAAATGAAACTATTCTATGATAGAGTTATACTCTGTCTTAGTGCCAAAGTTCTATTCTTGTATTTTTATGAAATTGCCTAGACATATATATATATATATATATATATATATAAAGTGAATAAAGTGAAATTCGTAAAACGCTGACATTTTTATGATTTTAGAATCTTCTATTAGATGACTGGAGCCAATGAATAGGAAGCCCTAGACCTAGGTTCTATGCTTGCTGGAACTCGTCAGCAAGACGTATCTGTGATCTTGAAGGAACTCATGTCTCCCCGTGATGATGAGTGGCAACAAGTACAAGACCTAGATGCGCACGGTTTCCCATCGATTGCCTTCAACCACCTAACATCAATTCAGAGTCTACTGTGTTGGTGAGTCACCTAGCATGACGACCACACTGCAAACTTACGTGGTAGAATTCAGTCTTTACTAACATCAAGGACTAGATGCATGATACTGATCAGGCTCTGGTGAACAGCTGATATACTCTGTCATCTACTCATAAGAGGCATTCACACGTAATACACTTCTAACAGAATATGGAGTTACTCACAAACTATTTTTATTTATACTTCTGAGTTTCTGTATGTTCTCTCAAATACGAGTGACTTTTAACCTATACACTAGTATCAGTCATGGACCACAATAGTTTATTTTGAAAATAATTATGAAGAGACCGTTAGTGGAAAGCTTTTTTTTACTGTTAAGATATAGTCGCAAACATTAAGTTTGGTGACCTCGGTGACTTATCATGCAATTTCTATGTGTACTGTCTAAACTCTTCACGTCTGCAAATTAAATGAAGTTGACGAAAATAAGCAGTGAATATCTTATCCTCAAGAGTCAATAAATGTTATGAATTCGGTGACCTTGAGGAATAAATACATCTCCACAGTTCCTACTGACCGACTTCTGCTTTGGTGACTGTAGTATTGTCCACTGGGGAATTATCCCTAATTTAAATTGTTTATATATATATATATATATATATATATATATATATATATATATATATATATATATATATAACTTTAATGACAATAATTTTATCATTTAATATCATCAAAAAATGTTGAATTTTGCCTTTTTAGATTATTTTAAATCCCACATGTACAGGAAATCGACAACCAGAATGGTATAAATTACAAGTTGCTAAAAATATTCCCGATGATTTGAGCATACAATTGACGCTAAGAATGGATAAACCAAATAACCTGAAACATTGTGGTTATCTATATGCATTGGGTAGAACAGCATTTAGAAAATGGAGACGACGTTATGTCTGTTTAATACAAGTATGTTGTTCTCGGTATTATCATTATTATTATGATTATTATCATAACTTCCGTTTGGTTTTTCTAATTTTCATGAGATTAGGTAATTATTGAAGGCAGTAACATCAGGAAGTTGAGTTAGCAGCAAAAATTCTATGCTAGTTCACCTGTGCATGATTTGATTTGTTAAGAATTCCCTCATTGGAGACTGTTTTAAGGCTTTTTTCGCTATCTAAAAACTATTTTCTGAAATTAGTGAATTCACTTTTTTATATATACTAAAATTTTATTGGTGTTTCATATGTACACAGTGTTTAGCGCGCTTAAAAAAAAAACTTATTTGATTAAATTAAAGATTTTCTTACTTTATCATTTGGATTGAGTTTATTTTCAGTATTTGTTTTACTTTCGCCTAATGGAGTTGTATTTTTTTTTCTCCTCCATAATATTGTCTTTTATCTGTGACAAGAAATATTTTGAACATGGTATCTAAATGGAAGTAATCAAACTATTGATTTTAGTTTGTGTGTATTCTCATGTAATACATTGACTAAGTTGGCTAGGCTACATGTTACGCATGCGGAGCAATCGTCTTCGTCGACAGGCAATGACAACTGACATAGGATTAGGTTTGGAAAGAATTAGGTGTGGTTGAACGAAAAGTTAGCTTTATTATTATTATTATTTATATTATTATCTCCTTTATTTCCTAGAGGAACATAATCCTGCAACCACACGTCTCCAGTGCGTTTGCCTATCCGTCAACGTTTTCATCTGGCTCCCCATTTGCCCACATGCTTTGTGACCTCTTCTCACGACCTCATTCACGTCACCCTCACACTGACGACCAACTTGCCGCAACATAAACTGCTGCATGTGTGTGTGTGTGTGCAAAGTTCGATGTTGAAACTCATTCATCCATTCAGTCAGTATTCACAGTTCACTATTCCAGATTTACTATATAAAGCAACAGCAAGGTCAGATCAACACATTAAGAATATATTCCTGTTGGTCGCTGATGAAAATGTGAAAAAGTGGAAGTGAATGACATCTAGTAAACTGACTTGCGTTGGTGGGACAGCAGCAGAATGCTCGCCAACCAAGCAGTTGGTCTGTGGTTCGATGCTCAGCCGGCGGGCTCCTTTACCTCACTAAACCAGTAATTAGACCGGTAAAGAGGGAAGGCAGGGCATGAGACCAGCAACCACATCCTGTAACAATACACACCTTGTGCTACCAAAACTTCAAGCCTCTAGCTTGAAGCCCTATATTCCATTGGGAGCATAAAGAAATAAAAAACAACAATAATAATTAGATTGACTTCATTTTTATGTAAGAGATCTGTGTAACTGTTTCTGACTAGAGCACCAATAAAGCGGTAGACATATTTTTCCTTCGCTTAATTAAAACTTGATATAAGTTTTAATTTATACGAAGTTTGTTTGGCGCCACTTTGACGACTAAGTGCTAATACCAAAGATTTCGCCAAATGATTCAGTATTTCTCACTTGTCTGTTCTTTTCTACCTATTGTCATTCGATGATAAATCGTACCAGGAATAATTTCATTCCTCTAACGGTAATATCTTTCTAAGGAAAGAAAAGATTAATACTTAGTCCCCTTCCTTTCGTTACTCTGTACTTGTTTTATTTTTTATTCTTTATCTAACTTTGTATTGAGTACATGTTAACTTTATGAAGAATGTTCATAACCGATGACCGTAAGTTCTAAAGGTGTTTCTACCTCATCAGTTATATAGATAATTAAAATAAGCAAGTGAAGAAAAACAGCACATTTAACCCTTTTGCTCTAATAAAGAAAGAAACAAAAAAACAGTGAGAGGGTATCAGTTTTACAGTTGAATTAATCCCTCAACTTTTCACGTATAACAATTCTTCTTCTTCTTATTATTATTATTAATAACAGTGTTATCTCTTAAGGGGAAGTATATATTATTTTCAGCACGTAAATTCGTTCTGTGTGGGGGAAATGAATTCACTGACACAAGCTATCATAGTTGAATAGAATATTTTTGATATTCTTTCTTCATGAACGTGTGTAAACCAATTTCATCAGTTATCATTTTGACTTGATCACGAAAGCTGTAACAGAAAAATGAAAACCTCAGTCATAAATTTTAGAATAATTTATGATTATTTGACTGATAGCCATCTTTGTAGCGCATTCTGTTACTCTGTACATAATAATACTGAACTGTTTAAACAGCTGTATAGCTACATAACAAACATTTTTTGAAAAGTCATTATTCTAATAAGTCTAAACAAAAAGGTGTGATTTATTTTATAAAGAAAACAGTATTGTACATTTACTGTACATCTTACTGTTACAACTAAAACTGATTTGTTATCGTGTAAACACAGCGAGAACCGATCACTGCATCCTACAATCTAGCTCTTCGAAACTTCCTTTTAGATACACTCAGTCAGGAATCACTCTAAAGACAGTGAAAGACGATTGTTCTGGAATAATTTTGCGGTTCGATTAACAAAAAAAATACAACTCAAAATTACGTAAACAGTGGCGTTAGGCAGCAATACAGTCTAGTGTAAGTACAAAAAGAGTACTTAAAAACGTGGAATTAAAATCTTCATCTACAAGAATCATACACCAGCACTTCCTGAGGACAGTCCAACGTCAGGATAATCTTCATTCACTCAAATAAGATCACATCGTAAAATAACACAGTATCATTGTACACATAGTCACAATAAGAAACATTAAAAATTAGAGATTAAATAGTCACAAAGACAAATTATTATTTTTATTATTATTCCCTTGGGGAACCCAAGGGGAACATAGAGCTTCAAAAACACATCTCTACTTTTTTCTATTTGATGCTGTCCTCTTCAACTGGGTCGACAACTGCCAATCATCTCTTATCTCCTCATCGTATGATCTCCTCCATGTCACCCTCAGACGCCCCGCTCGTCGTTTCCCTTTGGGATTTCACTAGAATGATGGCCTGCATTGAGCGCGATATCATTTGAAGTTCTCTTCAGCGTATACCCAATCCATCTCCACTTTCTCCTACATATTTCTTGAATGATAGGTTCTTGGTTAGTTGGTTGGCATATGTTTTTGTCGTTAATTCTCTTTGGCTAGCCATCAGTAAGGAAATAGGGAGGTGGGTGGCTGTTGATAAAAGTCTTCAGTGGTCTGTTGGAAGTGCTTTTCGTGATGTGCTGACCAAGTTTCTGACCCATACAGAGTCACTAGCCGACTCCACATTTGTGTTGAAAATTTGAATCTTGTTCTTTGTGCTGAGGTGGAATCTTGGAGATTTCCAAACTGGTTTCAGATTGATGAAGGCGTATCCTGCCTTTCCGATTCTGGGTATCTGGCTTTGACATCTTCATCCGTTCCGCTTGTAGTTGAAACGATGCTTCCTAGATAAGGAAAAGTGCGTTGAAGTTCCTGTAGTATTTTGATTGGTTTTATGTGGTATGGGGGCTAGCTCCACTCCTAACTCTCCTTCTTTACTCGGGCTTGGTATCTGCTGGAAACCTAGCTAGCTAGTAAACCAGGAGAGGTTACAAAGACAAATAATAAGGATCACATCAACGGTTGATGATTAAAAAGTTAGTTGAAATGTCTCAATCAGTGTAAATAATATGATTTGATCGTTCGACAGGAATTTTCCACACAATCTTTCAGTTACACGTAGATAACTTGACATAATACTGCAGTACACTGAAGAATCAATCTATTTTACTTCAATAAAGATAAGTTTGTTTATGCATAGTTCTTCTTGTCCTCTTGTCGATATATTTTTTTAAACACTAACGGATATTCAATTAACAAACATAAGAAGACGATATACCTTTTTGTTATTTTTTATTTTGTAAATATTAACTAATTCAGAAATATCTTTTTATGATCACTGTGGTACTTAATTATAAGTTATGCATAGCCTACTCTAAAAGCACATGGAGTTTGTGGAAGACAGTGCATACTGTGTATTTAACTTTAACCGATTACATTTTAAATTTAACATGACTGATGAAGAAGGGGAAGACAGCGTAAATTGATTTTTCTATTGTGTCATTTTTCATATAGTTCAGGGACTTAGTACGTCGCGAAAAATATTCCCGACAAGCAGCTGCATACTTTCACTAGTAGGTGCCTTCTCTTGATATTCAAGAGAAAATAGCTGATAAGAAAGGGTGAGCAGTAAAGAGCTCTGTTAGGCAGAGAATCATCCAAGAAACCATCACTCAGCAATTATGCAGAAGGAAATGGAAATCGATTGAAAATACTCTGAGTAGACCATCAAGTGCCAATCACACTATTGGATACCGAGTGAAAGCCGGATAGAAAGTGGCAAGCTGGGCTTTAGAGGTTGACATTAGAGGAGATCGTTTCAGGGGGAAATAAAAGTTATGCACAACTGTGGAGTCATCTGAAATCAGCAACAGAAGACAGAGTACAATAGAGATATGCTACTGAGACCTGATACTTAACCTGGAATGCATGCAGCAAATAGTGATGGATAATATTTCAAAAAGATGACAAAAGTTTGTTTAAAACGTAAAAGTTAAGCCTTCATGATGTCCGAAATCTTTCTTTTTATGGTATCTTGATGACTTCTTAACACGAAATTCATTTTTTTCCTTAATTTTTCGGTCACTTGAATCACGTAATTACCAAAGGAAAAAAAACTTCTTTGTAATACCATTAAACTGGTGGTGAAACATTGTATCATAAAGATTTTGTGAAAACTGCTCTTTTCGCAAGCACTCACTAACTTGATTTATTCTAGAAATTATAATAGCTTGGTGGTTGAAGGGATCTTGTTTTGTTATTCATCAGCTTACACAACGCATAGACCATCTGACGTAATAATACTTATTAAAAACTAATTCAACTGTATCAATACTGTTTAAAGTCAATAACCTTCATTTTTATCTCCAATTAATTATAGAGTAAGGCCTTCTCCTACATTCTACTAACCTTCCCACTGGGTTTAATTATAAGTTCTCATTGAAAATAACTCGTAACAT